CTCCGCGGGAGCGCAGAGGAGGACAGGGGCGCGAGGAACGGAAGGAAGGGGGAGCGGGGATGCAGGGTTCAAGGAGGGGTGGGGGATGTGGAGGGGGAGGAGGGGAGAACGGGGAGGGAGGAAAGGAGGACTGGGGGACAACATGGAAAGGGAGGTGAAGGAGGGAGGAGGTGTTCGGTCGGAATCGGCACTGCAGCAATCTGCGCGCCGCCTTGATAACAAAAAACCCGCCCCCGAGAGCCCAGGAAGACGTCGGGCAGGGAGGAGAGGGGGAGGGAGGAGGGAAGGGCGGATCTAAGGCGATTCAAACGGTTTGATGGTCGATGCCCCGTGCCGCTTGAGGCTGGCAGAGCTGGCTGGCCGCTTCATGGAGGGATGGTTGTTGAGTGGGAAAATGGCGGGACGCCCCCGCAAGAGAAATAGTTCAGCCAGGGGAGAAAGGGGACACCCCGCGCCATCACACCCGGGGATATCCTCCCCCCCCTCCCCCCGCCCGGAAAGCGAGCACGAGGCCCGAGAGTCAGAGAGGGACTGTCCGCCCTCTCGGGACGGCCAAGGCGTGTAGCGCCGAAGATCATATCCAGCGTGTTGTCCTGCAATGTTTGAGCAATCCTGATATCCAAACCCGGGTCCGGACCCAATGGGGTCCTGGGAGGTCCCGGGTCCGGACCCTGGTCCGGGCCTGGGGGGTCCCGGGTCAGATACGCTTCCCCTCACAGGGGCTCCCGGGCCGCAGAAAAAACCTCAAGACGGGCCAAGAGTGCCGCAAAAGCTCCCAAAGACAGTCCACGAGGGCCTCGAATCGCCGAACGATCTGTCCGAGGCGCCTGCGTGGACGGCCTCCAGACGGCCCAAGAATCCTGCAAGACGCTCAACAGAGCCTCCTGCAGGAACAGTCCCAAAAGCGCCTCGAGAACGAAAACCGTAAATTGTCCATCGGTTTTTTGATGATTTCCGCGTTCCCGCCTCTCCCGCTTCCCGACGCAACACGGCCCAAGCGGCCTCCCAGATCGCCGCCAGACAACCCCAAAGGGATCCACGAGCGACCTAAAACGGCCCAAGAGAGTCCCAAGACGGCCCACGACGCCTTTTAAAGGGCCCCAGAGGCCCCCAAGACGGCTCCAAGACGGTGCCGAGACGACGGACCAAACCGGACATTTCGAGCCCTCAGCCCGGAGTGCTCCCAGGAGGCCCCCACAAAGTCCCCACAAAACCCGGAATAGACCCCAAGATGCTCCCGAGAGGCTTCCGGGAAGCCCCAGCAGGCCCCCAAGAGGCCCCCAAGAGACCCGCACACTGTCCCCCGAGGCCCCTGAAAGCCTTTCGACCAGGCCCCAAGAAGCATCCCTGAGGACTCTGACCCAGGTTAGCGTCGTCGTCGTCGGCAACCCGACGGTGTATGCACAGAAAATGGTTGCCGCGCTGCCTTTTCGTCTTGGTGGCGACACACCACCCCCATCTTGGCAGATGGCGAATCCATGGCGACTCCTCCGCCGTCCAGCTCCTCATCCCTCCTCTTCCTGATATTCCCTCCTCCATCCTGTTCCTTTTCCCCTTCGCCTCCTCCGTCCCCCTCTCCTCCTCCCCCACGTCCTGCGCATTTTCGTCGAACATGCTCGTCGTCGCAATCTCCGCGGTCGTCCCCCATTCAGGGTCGGCGGCCGCAGGGCCCTCGCAGAAGTTCAGCCAGGGGAGCAAAGGGGCCACCCCGCGCCATCACACCCGGGGAAGACGTCGGGCAGGGGGGGTGGGGGATGTGGAGGGGGAGGAGAGGAGACCGGGGAGGAAAGGAGGACTGCGGGACAACATGGAAAGGGAGGTGAAGGAGGGAGGTGGTCGGTCGGAATCGGCACTGCAGCAATCTGCGCGCCGCCTTGATAACAAAAAACCCGCCCCCGAGAGCCCAGGAAGACGTCGGGCAGGGAAGAGAGGGGGAGGGAGGAGGGAAGGGCGGATCTAAGGCGACCCAAACGGTTCGATGGTCGACGCTCCGTGCCGCTTGAGGCTGGCAGAGCTGGCCGGCCGCTTCATGGAGGGATGGCCGTTGAGTGGGAGAATGGCGGGACGCCCCCGCAAGAGAAATAGTTCAGCCAGGGGAGAAAGGGGGCACCCCGCGCCATCGCACCCAGGGATATCCCCCCCCCCCCCCCCAGAAAGCGAGCACGAGGCCCGAGAGTCAGAGAACGGGACTGGACCTGCCCTCTTGGGACGGCCGAGGCGTGTAGCGCCGAAGATCATATCCGGCGTGTTGTCCTGCAGTGCCCGAGCGGCCCTGATATCGTGGATCAGCAGCCTGCGCAAATCTGCGGTGCTGCTGTTCGAGCGAAGCTCGGCGGCGGTGTCAACCTGCTCGGCTTTCGTGCCTGGCGCGCCGCCCTTGCCCTCGGGGCGGGCCATGTCCCTGGTACCCTCGCTGTCCTGCTTGCTTGGTGCTGGTCGTGCCTAGCAAGCCGCCCTCGTGTACGGCGCGGCCCAAGCCGCCCTAGTGCACGGCGCGGCCCATGGCTTTCGCCGACGCGGCTCCGAGGCAGAACGCCGCGCTCCCGAAGGATATGGCCCAGCTCCCGAGGTAGGCGCGGGCAACGGCTTCCCGGGCGGAAGGCAAACTGTTGCCACCGTCGGAAATGCAGGGGGTGAGCCACCCCTTCTGCTCGTTGCTTAAGGGCCGGGTCGGTTCGGCGCAAGGCCCGAGGGAGCAAGTCGTCGAGCTCCCCCACTGAAGCGGTCTCGTGGCTCGCACGCAGCAGCAGTAACGTGTGGGCTCCTTCCGCCGAATCCTTTCTGGCGGAGAGTCCTACAATGCCCCAAAAACGCTGCGCGTCTTGTCCAGGACATCCCGCCCGCCAGACCTAGCAAAATGGGCAGGACCGCAATAGCCAGGCTGGGAGTCCAGACTGGTGTCTTCGCCGGGTTGACTTGCAGACTGGCCTGAACCAGCCCCTCCTGGACGATGTCGTGCGCCAGGGCGGCGGGCTCTGCAGGCGCGACGACGGGCGCGTCATCCAGGTAGGAGAGCAAGCGGGAGACGGGGTCGAGCTGCCGCGGGCGGTCGCGCGCGCGCGAGGACGTTCGCGATGCTCGCCGCGAAGGAAGCAGCGCTGCGAGGACATCCCTGGTCGACGCTTGTCTCGGCAGGCGCACGCATGTGGGTGCGTGGTCGCCCCACGCGACGTGTACTGTCGGCCCAGTCAGCCAAGCGCTGGCGACTGGCAGGCCTGACGCCAGGCGGCCCACCGCGTCCAGCGCCGCCTGGCGGGGCAGAGCATTCAAAACGTCGGTTGCGTCGAAAGCCAAGACGGCGGCCCCGGCAATGACTCGATTAACGTGGTGGCGCATGCGTGGGTCCGTTCGCAGTCCACCCTGGTGCCGACCGCGGACTGGTGGGGGCCGCTCGCTTCCTTCAACTCCGCGTCGGAAGCTTCGGACGCTGTTTCCGACGCCAGCCTGCGAAGGACTCAGCCCCACGCCACTGGCCCGAGTTCCCCGATCTTCTTCCGCAGCGCCAGGCCCCCAAGTTGATCGTAGTGAAATCGCTGGAAAGGGCGCCGGGGGAGAAACCCACGGCCACCCGACAGCAAGCCTCGAGCGTTGCGGAGTCGGCAAAGAGCGTATTCCTGCGCTCGAAGCGAAAGCAACGTGGGCCCAGGCTAGAAGGTCCATGGGGCTTGCTCGATGGCTGTACACAACAACCTTTCCGAGATCTCGTCGTCGGGAAGCTGCGCGCCGATTGCCGTGGCTGCCTCGCCTCGCCGGAAAAGGCTCTGAGGATGGTCGTGGGCGCTTGCGTCGGTCGCCACCGTGGCCGAGCGAGTGACCGAGGACATGTCTGTGGAGACCGAGCCCTCGGCGCAGAACCTCGCCGCGTTCTTCGCGGTGTCCTGCGGGCGGCAAGTAAATCGTCGTCCGGCCGCGGCAGCCCCAGCCGCGGCTGTGGCCGCCGACTTGCGCTCAAGGCCCCCCCCCGGCCCCCCCGCCAAGCTATGCAGATCTGTCGTGCTCGCGCGGGCCCCCGCGAAAATTCAGTGACGTGGTTGTTGATGATGTGCTAGACGATGCCGACGGGAGACTCGTTCATGTAGATGATCTTCCCGCTGTCCTTGCCCCACCAGACGTGGCTCGTTGCCGCGGGCAGGTTGTCGACCAGCCAATTTACCAGGTAGTCGTCGTCGGTCGGGAGTATCTTGGTGCACAACTTTCTGAAACTTGCGTTCTCAAGCATCCTGCTCTTCTACGGGCTGTTTCCGATGCTATCGCCCTCCAGGATCTCGCCCAGGCTCTCTCCGCGCTCTCCCAGATCATGGTTGGCGGGGATCACGGCGGGGCGTAGTGGCGGTAGGGCACCTGCGTGTTGACAGAGGTCAGCCTGTCCACCTGCAGTTGGACCAGAGGAGGAGGACGAGGAAGAGGATGGCGAGGAGGAGGAGGAGTGAGTGAGCGATTACGGTCGCGAAGCGAGTTCGGTGACTGACGGCCCCTGACGAGATGGCTTGGCTCGGCATTGGGCCTTTCGATCGTAGCACGAAGGAGCCTGATGCGTACCAAGAAAGCCCTTTGTTCGACCTCTCGAAAAACATGGCGCTCGATCTCGGGACCTCGGTGCCGATCGGCGGCAGTCCTGGACATGAGATCGGCCACCGTATTGCCCTGCGCCGTCCACGGCTGCGCAGTGCAAGCAGCTGGCCCCTTCTCGCCGAAATGAACAGCACACTGAAATCACCGGCATCGCGAATGTGAAATATCTGCCCCAACTGTCACCGCAAGTCAACGTCTGGCCCTGTGGGGCACTGGCATCGCTGGGTCGTCCATCCGTCGGCCACGCCACTGTTGTCCGTCATGTAAATGACTCGCCCAGAGGTGGTTTGTGCAGCAAGTGACAGCGCCTTCAGCTCGCCCCGCGGGACTGTCTGGCTCTTTCCCGCCAGCGGCCCTGAGACTGAAGCTCCCGCTCGGAAATGCACCGACCTAAATATCCGCACAATTGCGACTCCAACCCGCCTGAA